AAAGACGAATTCGTGCACGAACAACACATCCCAAAAATCCGGAAGAATTGATGGATGCACTCGTGGAGGAATGGAATAAAATCGGACCGGAAATTTTAAAAAATTTGGTTGAAAGTATGCCGAGAGAGTGCAAGCTGCAATTGATACAAATGGGTATCCAACCCGATATTAAATATATGTATGAATAGCCCTACTTTTGCTGAAAAAATGATATATTTTTTATCGTAATTTATTTAAAGAGAAGTTGAGAAATATTAATTAAAAAGTCATATCAAAATTCGCCTAAATTGCTGATCATTTCCCAATTCCAACAAACAAATATAGCATCAATTGACTTACTGTAAATTATCAGAAAATTATTTTTATTTAATCGAATTTCGTTATTGATAAATTTTATGTCAGAAAATTTGTTTCGTAAAATCGTACATATATTACGTTATTTATGTCAAAGAATATGCTAATCATACTGTTAACTAAATAGTGTGATGATCTCGGTTCGAAGCCGGTTTCAAACCAACTTAAGCCGAACCGATACATCGTTAACTACATGCATTCATATGCATAAATGGGAAGAATAAGAAACAGATACTTTCAAAGCAAAATGCATTGAAAAGTATAATAGAGTATCATGTTTAATTTGAGATGTTTGTGCTTATAAGCCTTTCAAAGATTGATTCTATGAAGAAATTGAAATTCGACTAATAAAAGATAGAAACTATAAAACATCAGTGGATTGCTGAAGTATGCGACGATATTCTATTTATATTTGTTAAAAAATCTGATGTCTAATGTGATCAATAAAATTAAAAACACTGTTATTGTAATAGAAGAACCAAATATTGTTTTGATAAAAGATATCGTTATACTATAATTGAAAGAGTGGATAGTAAGGCAATGTTGAGTTTAAAATGAACGATTTACAATAAAGACTTCTAAAGGTATGCAAATTAATCTTGAATATGGTAAGTGTAATTTCAAATAATATAACAAAGATTGGACTTAGTTTTTGCTAACAATCAATAAATAAAATTCAGAGTATAGCTTATTTTGAATAGAGATCTTCTAAACTTATATGCAAGCTTTGAAGTTGATCACAATAGAAAATAAAGTTTACAAAGTTATTTTTATTATAAATTATTTAATTAGAGCATCTTTTGATTGCAAGTTCAATGCTAGAGCTTTGTGAACAGGTACTTATTAAAATATATCGATATGTATTAAGATTTTATAAATATTAAATGTAATATTGAATATCACAAATTACCTAGCTAAAATCAAATAATACAAAGTTAAAATAAATATTAATAAATATTAAATAGTATTGAATAAATAACTGTTAAATTAGCTGTTAATATTACGAAGATAAAAATAAATATTTTCTTCGAGATGTATAAAAATTTAACGTATCAATATATCATAATTTTCTTATCATTGACCAACTACAATATTATTTGTATATAATTCTTGTAATATGAATAATAATTGTCAAAGTTTATTCTGTAATTTATTTGTATTTAAGTTAAATATAACATTAGACAATTTATTACGAAAATTAAATCCTTTAAGCTAAAAGTCAAAATTGCACCTCTTATGGTACAATAAGAATTTGAGCACTACCCAACAAAGTATCTCTATTAAAAATGCTAAGGAATTGGTTATGAACATCCGTCGCGACACTCGTAGCATTAAAAATAGTTAAATTAGGTTGAAGTGCGATATCTGGGATGTCCAATTGGATAGCAGAAGAGCCTCCTGGTGGCGCATTAACAGTGAATTTTGGATTCAAAATCCTGATTACATTAGTTCCATCTTGATTGGCAGTAATTAAGAATTTATAGACGGTTGCATCTGTACTATCGAATCCGACGTTGATTTGCCCGAGAAGACGAGTGATTTGCTCTGGGAGTTGACTAAAAGTGAACTCGCCGAAAAGAGAAGTGTCTGATAGTCTATAACTAGCGCGTGCTACAAGCTGTGGCCATGGTGCACGTTTTCTGAAGGTTTGTGCTGGAGCTCCAGTTGAAGAGGAAAACAAGAAGCTAAAAATCAAAGCAATGATCAAGAAGAGTGTTGTGTTTTTAGTCATTTTTAGGTTTTTCTTTTGTATTTATTAAATTGTTATTATTCAGAGGTGACTGAGGAAAGTTATTTATTGCAGGAGAATCATCTTTTTTATATTAAATTTTTTATCTTTGGTATTATAAATAAAGTCCTTTATACACAAAGGATACCGTTACAAGCGAAATTCCCATTTTAAGTCTCTTTTAATAAGCGTATTTGAGTTTTATCGCTATTTAACGTTAGAATCAGCGTGAGCTGATTTTTTTACTTTAAGAAATGAGAAAGTCTGTAAATTATCTAATTTAACCAAGTTATTTTTAATGACCATTATACTGACCGCAACACAGTTTGTATGGCACATGTGCTTATTTGGATAAAAACTATTCTTGTCAGACCACAATTGACGATTTAAGTTTTTAATATTAATAGATTTAATGTGATGTTCAAGATGTTCAATATGTACGTGCTAAATCAGGAAATTCACATCACGCGATTTTTTCCACAACAATACATACATGTAGTTTATTCTTTTACGTTTGCGAATAGAAAATAAAAGTAATATTATTTTTGTAATAGAAAAAATAAAAGTATATATGATGTCATTTTGTATAAATAATATGAGTCACGTCAACTCCCCGCCATAGATGAACTAATTTGTGGGTAACAGCTTTTCTACGATGACGTGCTGAAAAGCTACTTTAAGGAATTTTTTCACTTCACAGGTTTATGTTTGGTATCTTTGCACTAATTGAATGCAAAGAAGATAGCGCCACAGTAAATTGGTTTGTATGATGATAGATATTGAAGTTTCTTGAGTTTGGATATGCTTTATCAGAGATTGTTAGAGACGAAAAAGCCGAAAAGAGATAAATATTTCTTAGTTTGGACAAAAAAAGATCGAATCAAATTTCATTTAATCATAATACGTGCATTCTGCATTTTTTTCATCTACGCAGTTGCGGACCAAAATTTTTAAATCAGTGAATATGTATAGGTCTTAGCGCTAAAAATTTCTTTTTTTACACATTATTGCGTAGTGATAAGACTATAAATGGTTAAATTGAAAAGTAAGAAACTTATTATTACAATTAGCTAATTGCGGACATTCTTTAGATACAGTACATGTAACTATAAAAGCGTCATCAATATAGTATAGTCAGACTCTCTAAATGCACACACTATATTTACCTCCGTTAGATGTACGCTCTGATTTAATCGCAATTATATAAAGCATTAAGCATTTTACCCTCCGTAAATGCAATTTTTCTAAATGCTCGTTATATCTGATTTTTTTCGAAGACGGGTCAATTTATGATTTAGACATTGTACAAATCTCCCGATGAAATAAGTAATTGTTAAATCATAGTACAGTAATGACATAATTTTGGATAATATTTGTAGCATTTTTTTTTTCAGCAAACAATTTCTGCCTTTAATAAACATGTATTCATGGCAATCACCGAGTGATAAGTATAGGTTGGTGAGTTAATGTTATAATACAACTAATGAAATTCATATGGCACACGTTTACAGAGAATATTATACAGTATACTCGTAATTACTATTAGACGGGGCACAGGAGAATCAACATTCTCGCCATACTTCATTGTTTCTCACAAAATATAATCCTTTCTTATGAGCAAAGTTTTAACAAAAGTCGACCATGGCGTATACAAATGAACTTTATTCCGTATGAGTCTCTTATTGTGTCCTTTATTTAATAAATTAAAAAATTATTGTTGAAATTATTGTTTGTAAAGATATTTAAATTCAAAACAAGTCATTTAAAATTTTCATACCGTATTTTCGCGAAATCATGCCCATGCGCATTATTTTTGAATCACGGCCCGCACTAAACTTAATTCAGGTCAAAATTCGAAATTACATTACAATCAGCACTCCAAATATTAAGCATGCATCGTTTTTCTAAAGAGTTAACATACGGGACTCGAAAAATCCTGAAATATAATTTTTCGAAATTTTATTTGTTAAATGGTGTAGAGAATTATTAATTTTGATACATAGGATAAATACAGCTATCAAAGAAACACAAAAACAAAATAAGTAATGCTCTTTTATGCATTCTGGACTGAAACTATTATCAGAGCTTTGATGCATAACGATTGAATATTTAATGTAATATAATATCAAAGTAAATAAGACATTATCTTACTAAAGACAGAAAAATAATTTCTTTTGTAATCACAGCCGAACCGTCATATAACTGCACCTCAGGATATAAAAATTTGAGACTTCAAATTTACTATCTCTATTGTGATTGTATTTTAAGTTTGATATGAAGGAATACTTCATACAATATCGAGAATGAACATAAAATGCAATTAAAATTTATGCGTCTTTCTTAAAAGACTATCAGCTTAGACGAATTTAAAGTTGGAGTGAATAAATCAAAACAATAAAGAAAATTTTCAAATCTTAAGATATATAATTTTGAGCTTTTGAAGAGTTTGTACGCAGGTTTACAAAAATAAAAGAAACTAAATAAATACAGCATACAGTACGCTGTATTTAAAGATAATTATTTCTTTTGTACAAATTTCTGTGGCTAAACGGATTAAACTGTCATTGAACATTCCTACTATATTATTTAACTGAAACACTGTACAATTATTACATTTTTTGTTTCTTATTATCTAGAAGCAAGAAAATATTTTCATAAACATCACAAAATAATCTCTTTTGCTGATTATTGTCTATTGATAATAAATAAATCAAATCATGTCCTCCAAAAATCGCTTGATTTTGTCCTTACCTAACGTTCGATGATCAAGTGGATTCAAACGTGAAATTTGTGGATCTGATTCTCTATACTCGAATTTAAATATACATAGTTTTTATATTACATGTACATGAAACTAGAAAAATAAAGAATTTTTGATAAACATTCAATGAAAATATTCTTGTATGGGGTTAATAATGTTATTAAGCCACATTGATACATCATTATGAAGTAATGGTCTGATAAAAAGATACACTAATAAATGCCAATTACATTAGAATATATTAACGTTAATGCTGTCAACTAATGAAACAAAACAAAAAATGATTTATTAATCTGGATATAATAATTCAAGTGAGATCTGGATGGGGAAAAGTGGGAGAAATAAAAATCTAAAAGTACAATCAAATTTGAATATAACAGAAATCTTAAACTAAACAAATAACTTCAGTTTATAAATAATTTATTTTTTGATATAATGAAATATTTGTCTCATATAGACGTTTAATTGAAACAAGTCTTAAGTAGTCATAAAGGATGTCACTGATGTTTGGTTATTTAACTTTGATTACTAAAGGAATTCTAAATTTTATATATGTAAATTGTAGAGTTGTCTTTGTATTTAATGTGTTTTTATAAATTGCTATAAAGAGATTTATTTAAGCAATCCAAAGCAAATATAGATTTAGTTAATTCGATATTTTTATAGAACAGTAAAAATATTTTTCTTTCTATATGTATGAAAATTCAACGATACGTTTTATTATGTTTTCCAACCATGAATACACTATATGCTTAATATTTGACATTTAATTTTTATAATAATTGACAAAGTTTATTCTGTTATTTATTTGCATTTAAGTTAAATATAACATTATACAATTTATTGTGAAAAATAAACCTTAAAAGCTAAGCGTGAAAATTATGCCTCTTATTGTACAATAAGCATTTGAGCACTGCACAACAAAGTATTGTTATTAAAAATGCTAAGGAATCGGTTATGAACATCCGTCGCGACACCTGGTCCATTTTTAAGAGTTAAATTAGGTTGAAGTGCGATATCTGGGC